GTATATGTATGTATATATATATATATATATATATATGTATATGTATATGTATGGCGATAATACCGCATACCGTGCTATTGAGCCACTCAAAATTACCGCAAGGGAAATTCCCTCACCGCGACAGCCCTATCTCCGATATGGCACGGGTCCCTCCTTCAGTGCAAGTCTGTGAGATTTTCGGTTTTATTATACAACAGAAAATAGTAAGTAAACAGGAAAGCAGCAAGATATCACTCACGTATACAGAACAAACAGTGTGTTATGAGTTACAGATCAAAATGTAATAATTTAGTAAGCATACTCTGATCTAAATTTTTACAGGTAATACAAATTGCTGATTTCCGGTGACAGTTATTTAAGATAATCTATGCTCTGTCACTGTTAACTCAATTAAAGTAAAACCAGCTGTTACAGAAATAGCGACAGGTGTTTTTTCTTTTTCTTTTTTGGTAATTTGTCACATTTTATTTTTTAAGAAACTATATTAATATTGCATTATAAGAATGATTGAAATTAAAATAACATTTATTATGAAAATTTGTTGTACCTCGTGTATTTTAACTACTGGATCAGGTTCATCGTCTTAGAACAGTTTGGCTGATTCCACATGTTTTATAGTGGATTTATGTGATTGACAGAAGCATTAATTAGGGTCACATTGTAGGAAATTTGTAAAAATTCAGCAATTCCATCTTATGGATGTCGAAAAATATTCATTAAGTGACTTTGCGTTTTACTCTCTAGTTTAAAAGTCTCTAAACTCCCTCAGAGCTCTTTAAAGACACTCAACTCAATATGTCCCACCTTTATCCTGTATGAATATGAAGCTATTATTTTCCTAACAATATGTTTTGTTTCTCAGACATTTGCAGTAGCAGGAGAGCCATGTTTCTTTGGCAGCTTTTTTTTTTGTTACTTTAGGGGGATATCCTGTACCAGCTTGAAGATCTTTATTTTTGCCTGAACTGTTGTTTTTCCAGGACTTTTTCCCGTGGTGATAAAACACTGATTGAATTATAGGTTTTTGCAGCATTCGGGTCTCCTAACCGCAGACAAGTTCCTTGTATTGTATTGTGCTTGCTCTCCAAATAAGTCACTGCAGGCTGCTTGCTCATGTACTGTTTTTCTAACCTATGATCCGTTGAGAAAAACCTTGACCTCTACTGCATGCAACAGTGCACCGTATGCTCCCGTGTGATGCAGAATAAACCGCTGTTCACCGTTGGGGAGGCCTCTGCCTCTAACATGAATGAAACTAATCTCTTGATTATGTTGCGAGGGAACATGAACATCCATTCTGAAGAGATTAGCATTACTCGACTAGTCCTCGGTCCTGCTTTATGTTCATCTTTCTGTCCATGATGGACGGTAAATCTTGCGCTGATTGCATCCAGCACCTCCCTAAAAGAGACTTAAAAATAATCCTCAGTTCTTTGAAATGCTATAGTTAAAAATTGTAATTTAAAATCAGGTTTGAGTGGATTTCCACACTTGCTTTGCAACAGCACCTCATCCAAACGCTGGTTGTGTAACAGTTCTTCTTCCATGTGGATTGGCACATTTGACTGCTACTGCAGAAGAATTAGTGGTCCAGTCTACTGCGTTCATGTCCCCTAATGCACTCACAGGATTTTCATCAGACTACAGAACACAGAAAGAAGGGATTCCGACTACTAAAGCCAGTGTTTAGTTACGGTTCTGTAGCATGTCAGAGTTTAACCTGCTTGAGGTGTGGTAATGTGGCTCTGTCATTGCATTGAGTGAGTGTTGACTGAACCATACTCGATTGATTGAGGTCATACTTAGCTTTGCTGTAACACTTTGACTTATTGATGGTCCATATTGTCAAATACCAAGATCTCGCCGCTCCGTCTACGCAGTAGATGCACATCCTTGAATGGACCAGTAAGAAATTGATCATTTCTGGAGGGAATTTGGTGCCAAGAGTGTTATTTAAGTATTAAAGTATTTATTCATATTTTAATGAGCTTTCAGTTTTCATTTTGATTTTAGTGTAAGTTTTAGTAGTATTTTTTTATTAAGCATTTCTGTTTAGCTATTTTTCAGTTTTTATTTTAGTAACTTAAGTACTTTATTTTATTTCAGTGAATTGTCAATGGAAGTTTTTCAACTAATATTTATATTTCATTTAAATTAACAAAAATATTTTTTCAACATGAATTTGAAATGGATTCCATTTACTTTCATTCTAATTCCTGATCATACAGACAACAAATTATCAGTACTTGATCTAAATTAAATTATTATCCTGCCTTTAAAACTGCTTATCTTTCATGCTGGTATTGCCCACATAATTATGCATCAAATGCATTGTCTGCCACTTTAAGAAAGGCACTCAATTGAAATTATTTGTGCTTTGAGCTTTGCTTTACGAAACTGCTCTTGGGGTAGCGTTGTAGCATGATGGCTTATAGCATTCAGTGCATTGGGAAACATTGACTTGAGACAGGAAAGAAGGCCTTGTGTGCCAGTCTTATTTATATCACTGAAGGGTCAGTATATTTGGCAATGTATGCCACTTGGTGCTATTTTTTGTGTCTGCCGTTTCCAAGGTACTCCAAAAAGTTTCAAAGTGGGGCAGAGTCCTTTGTTTCATGTAGCAGACCTCAGTGGGAACATTTGCTTCAGGGCTAAGAGCTTTATCTGTAATTGTATGTTAAGTTCCGTGTTTCTACCCATTCTTTTAGGAAGAAGTCACAGAAATGGGATGAAATGAACATTTTGGCCACATATCACCCGGCGGATAAGGACTATGGGCTGATGAAGATAGACGAACCCAGCACGCCATACCACAGGTAAGCAGCACACGAAGAAAACTGCCATTAATGCTGTTTAGACTATACCTGTATAAAGATGAATATCAGTTCTAATGTGGCTGTGCTACTGCGTAGATTCCGTGGTGAAACTGCCGCCACCCTATTAAATCTAATAAGAAAATGAAACTGTGCTCGTTAGAACAAATTTAATTGAGTGCTTTTTCTAGGAAGTGATTCAATGAACAAAACATTAATTTATGAAAATGAAATCAACTATAAATTTATTTTTGGACTAAACTGTGCAGGGAAAACGTCCATAAGTGAGTCCAGTTTAAAGTAGCGATGCACTGATATGGACGATAAGCTATAGATTACACTGCATTCAGGTTAGCCTATAGCCTTTATGCTACAGCTTGAAGAATAGTAATTATTTAAAGATCTGATCTCTTGCTAAGGCTGTATGGATTGGGAATAAGTTGTTGTTTAAAGCGTTGCTCTTCTCTCTGGATATGTTACTGCCCTGTCTGCAAAATACAAGAGTAGCACTGAGGGTGCAACTCAATATGACAGGGCAAATTTGCAGAAAAGGTCATTCTGTCTTTCTCCCTTCGGGCTGTCGGCCAAAAATCTCCTGTCCCTCTTAGGATGGTCGGCGATGAAGAGGATGAGGGGGCGCTCAGCGATTCGGACGGGAATACAGTCCTACCCGGAGATGACCTCGCTAAGAAGTAAGTGATGCATGATTGTTATCTCTGATGTGGATAGATTTCTTCAAATGTTTTGATACGTACCCATGTTTTAGGCTCCAAAATTTGTGTGACTCATCACCTCCACCCCATCCACATCACAGAATTAACCTATGTACTCTATAATCTCACAGCAATTTACTTTTTAATAATGACCAAACGCTTATTTACTATTTTGTCAGGCTGCAGTGTGTCAGAATAGTTCAAAGCATGCATCTCTTGGATTGGTGCTTGGTCAATTTGAAAGTCAAGCAGAAATACAGCAAAATAGATTTCAAAAAGCACTGTTTGGTAACATGATGGATCGACACAGTCACAAACATTTGCATTTTTCCTGCTACGTTCTCGTGACGTCAGTCAAGTCTTGCCTTGACATCAGTGGATGCGTTTAAGTAACCTATGTGAGGAAAGCTCATTAAGATACAGCAGCTGTGAGAACAGAGTATTTCTATTATTTTTGGTTTCCTGCCGCCACGTTAGTTCTATATAGTTAACGATACATGAGCAACCAGAAGTCCTAACAGATGTCACGTCGCAGCCTACAGGCCAATCAGCGGTCACAGCAACTCAAGCAGAGTTGCTAACCGCTTTCACAATAGTGTCTGCCCAGCGTCTTCTGTCTGTTTCTGTTTGGAGTTTGACTCAAACGCACTCTTATCCTGTCATTTCAGTGTTTCCCAAAAAAAGCCGCCATGTGCTTCTGATATACAAAGAAGCATGTCAGCAAACTGGCTGATAATGGCACGCATTTTGATCCACAACCAGCAAACCATGGCTGAGAAAAACTTCGATTAATAGGGTGTGTTTAGCATATTATGAGCATCTTAGCATTTTGAATGGTTTTACAACCTAGTTGGATATTTTTCACGATATATTATAAAGACTTTACTTTTTTAAAGAAGTTGTTGTTAATCTTTGAGCAGCATTTATGACAAATCCGCTACCTACAATAACCCCCAGCACCGCATTGGAGCTTGTGTCATGGCATGAAGTCACGTGACACGCAGAAACAAGTGTGCTTCGATGTCACTGATCTGTCACTGTTTGATATTGAATTTTTATTATTAGGTGAACTATTCCTTTAAAACAACGCAGCTACTAGTTGATTTTGAAAATGCGTAAATATGAAAATACGCCCTGAGAGAAGGGCACTTAAAGTCTTTGAATGAATAGAAGAGGTCCATTTTAATGCAGGATTCGTATCTTTAAATCTAGATCCGTGTCTTTAAAAGCTCTGAGATGGATGTGAGTGAGTGGTTTGTCTGTAACTGAATCTGTAGCTGATGTGAGCGTCCAGGATGGCTAGTGATACAGCTGCTCTACCTTAGTCCCGTTCGCCTTCACTTTCTTTCTCCGTCTCTATCGCTTCTCGCTCTTTTGTCATCGTCCTCCTCCTACTGTGTCTTTCTTTCACCACTCTATCTTGTGTTTCCCTCAGGCACGTGCATTTTATGCTCCCCTACCCAGCATTGTGTCTGTGTCTGTGTCTGTGTCTGTGTGTGTGTGTGTGTGTGTGTGTGTGTGTCCGGTTACTCCTGAGAGATGCTTTCCTTAGAGATCTTCTCATATGATTAACATTGAAAATATTGCAAAGACCACCAGGTTTTATGAAAGACTTCCTTAATAAGCTGCACTGAGTTGTATTTATTAACATTAGCTGTTAGTAATGTGAAGGCCATCTGAGTAAAATTAAATAAAGAACTCACTGTTTTTTCCCTTATAAGGAACTTAAGCTGCCTTCAAGTCCTCCGGGGTAGTTTCTACTTATAAGAAGTCGATATGAATTCAGTATGATGTGCATCAAGTGATTTTGGTCAGAGTTAAATGGATGTTTTGTGCAGTTACAATATTTATTGGTTATTGAAGACAGGAAGGTTTTTAGCATTAGTGCAGCAGCGATGCACATTAGGTGTGTAATCGAAGCTTTTATCATTATTGTGCTGCCACGTGGAATGATGGGAGATTAAGTTCTGTTGCACAAGCCTGTGAGAAATATCTATAGCTGTTCTATTGTACTGTATTATAATAATTATATCATATATCAATAGCGTGCATATTTATATCTCGATACTGAAATAAAACACTGATCCAACTGTGAATCTTTCTGATGATGATACATCAAACTCTGTATGATGTTTTCTCTTTTTGACATGTGTCTGTCTCAGGCTGGCGGCAGCGGCGGAAGGCGCAGGATCTCGCTTCATGGAGGAACCAGAAGAGGAGAGCAGTGAGGAAGAGGAGGAGGAGTTGAGTCCGGAGGAGCAAGGTGAGACACGTGTCTGTCTCTCATGGCCTCTCTTTCACCTCGGCTTCCTCTCGCACTGATTACACATTTGCACAGCTCACCGCACCGTCAGCCAGCGGCTCAAACACACACTGCTCCACAATCGTCTCGGTCTCTTTTTCAGTTCACTAGTAAAGTTTCAGGAGCAATTCTTGATAGGGATGCACCGATACCACTTTTTCCAGTACTCGCCCGATACCGATACTTTTATTTTTGGTACTTGCCGATACCGAGTACCGATACCGATACTTTTATTGCATTTGTACATTTTTTAAATATTGGGTACAGAAACCAAAAGGGTATGTATAATGTTAGTTGGTTAACTTCATTTATCAAATAGATACAGTCAAACCAAAATATATTCAGACACCTTCAACATTTCTCACATTATCAAAGTTTATTCGCTATAGTTTAGAAAATGGTAATAAAATATGACAAGAACTCAGAGTTAAACGGTGTCAGAACAAATTCATCTTGATAACGCTAGATAATTCTGATAGAAAGGTATGTAATAGATTACAATCAACCAAAAATTAGACAGCTATGACAGTATTTACACAACTATCAATACTTAGTCAGGCAACCCTTAGCCTTAATGACAGCATATAGTCTCCTGGGCATGCTGTCAACCAGCTTCATGCAAACCTGAACTTCAATGTTTTT